CAACACTTCAAAAACTATTTTCTCTAGTGATGGCGGTAAATCTTCTAAAACTGAATTAATAAAGGCTTCATTTAAACATTTTTCAACACAACGACAACACAACGATTTTTACCAGGCATGCATGTCTTGTAAAAATATAATTTATTGTTCAGCAACTTTTCCTAGTTGCGTGCTGTTAACTAATTTCAGTAGATCTATAGATAGAGGGGAACAATTTTGAACAATATTTTGAATGAACCAAATTTTTATACTTAAAATGTAGACGGTGTGCATTGAAAATAATTAAAAAAAATTTTAAAATCATAACTAAAGTCATAACTGTGTCAAAAATTCTCCATTGCATGACGGGCAACAATGTTTTGAAAAAATTATATTGCCACACGTCATGTTATATTACATAAACATATACCAGCAGAAATTCACAAACAAAACACATGTCTTAAAACATGTTTTATTTGTAAGCTTTAGTTGTACGTTTTAATGGCTTTTGGAAGCATAGCGACAATAATGGTTAGATGGGTGCTGATTTTGATGAAAAATATGAAGGGAAAAAAATATATTAACTAATGGTACAAAAAATAATTAATCTACTGGTTTTAAATTTTTTGATTTCAATGAAATGTGTGATGTCACACTTCTTAGTAGCCCCACTCCCTCCTATTTTGTCGCAAATTTTTTCAAAAAACCCCTCCTTCCCCTCTAATCATCATCATCACCCAACCATTGCCAAGAACCTAACCCCATTTTTAGGGCTCTATCTTTTAACGGTTATTGTACACCGCGAAAAAAAGTACGGTCTAAATTACCAGAATATGGTAAAATTTACCTTGCTTCTGGATCTATGAGAATACCAGAATCACGGTAATTTTTACCGGAGAACTTCGGTAATGATTTTTGCAAAGTAATCAATGAAATATTTTATAATAGGCGATAAAGTTTGGTAAATGAGGTAAATTTTGGTAATTTTATCATAGTACACCTTGTAGTGTGGCAAAAAAAAAATATTCGTTTTTTCTGTAAATTAACTTTTTAGTTTTATATTCGTTACTAAGTTTGTGGTAAAAAGAACTATAATTTTAAAAACTAGAATATCTGGCAAACCAGTACCATATGAGTGGAAAAATCATAAAATGGATTCTGGAACCTTTTTTTTTCTCCACGCTAAGGTAATAAAGAATTATATATTTGTTTAAATAAATAACCTTGGTCTTTTTTTAATTGAATTTTTTGCAGTTATGAGGCATTAGTTTAAAATAATTTGGGACTGCGTTTTGATTTCAGTGGACAATTTCGAGAACGGATTTATTATTGGGACAAAAACAGTGGGGACATGATAAATTGTAAAAAATTAACACAACGGCAAAAAGTCCTAATATTACTTAGTTGCTTACTTAAAGAACATTATTGTTATTTTATCCTTTATAAAATTTCAATGTAACCCACACATGTAAAAATATCTTTAAAAATATACGACCTTACAATAATGGAGGGGAAACTTTTAGTTTTTGGCATTTTATTAAATTTCTCCAGAAATATTGAGAAATACTATATTATAAATTTCGAGGCGTTTTGGTCTTGCGTTTTTCTTATTCATACCAATAAAGTTTAAAGCATTCAGAAGTTTAAGGGACTGGTAATAAATTATGAACGAAAAGTGGGGGTGGCTTAGAACATTCTATGCCAAAAATACAGCAGTAAGCTTTTAGCCTGTATCAATTGCTTTTACAGTATTTTTGTCTTACTTTGTTAAGATATTAAATAAAGTTAAAGAAAATTTTTAGAGTAATTTTTAAATAATAACAATAACATAATTTTATAGTTTAAAAAAAAATTCGTAAAAAGTTGCTCAAGAGATGAGCATTTAAAGTAATCCTTCCATGCTGAGCATGGGTGGGAAACATTTGATTTTTTTTTTCTCTCATTATTTTGATATGAATCGTATTTGATTACATGAAGAAAGTCCGGTTTGAATATTTTGAAAATGTAAAAAATTTCTAGCTCTTTAAAGAAAGCTATAAATGAGGAAGGGCTATTCATTAACTTCATTTTACCTTGTAAAACAAAATTGAATAACAAATTATTATGTCTGATAGAGATTAATGATTTTCCAAACAACAAAATGAGATGGTATAAGGGGGGACGCGAAATGAAGCATATTTTAATAAGCATTGCCCTCTATAATGCCGGTGTTATTTTTAATATACCTTTTTAATAGTACAAAATTATGTTTGTGGAAAACCCCTTACCAATCAAAACTTTTTTTTAATAATTTATAAAAACTATTCAGATATTGGTAGAAACTTTTCAATTTTTCAAAATATTCAAACCTACTTTTTTCATAATTTATCAAATACGATTCGAAACAAAATTATAAAAAAAGAAATTTCAAAATGTTTCCCACGCATACGCAGTATGAAAGGATCACTTTAAATACTTATATTTTGCGCAATTTTTTAACGATTTTTTTCAAAAATTTAAAATTATATTTTGTCATTAATTAAAAAATGCTGCAAAATTTTTATCAAATTTTATTGAATATTGCTTCAGTTATAGTAAAAAAAAGAAAAAAAAACGTAAAAAAGAAAAAATTAATAAAAATACCCCTCCATGAAAAAGTTAAATTTGCGAAATTTTATGCAGATAACTAAGGTAGTTGATACAATTTACATGCTTATTGCTATACTGCACTCCTTCAGGAGAAAAATTGCAAAATGAAGTTTATAAAGTCATATAAGATATTAATTAATAAAAATATGCATTTTATTTACAATAATTGAAATAAGAACGATAATATAAGGGATCATGTGATATTCTATTCGCGATCGCAACGCTCGAGTACGCCGTCTAGCGGGAGCCTGTAAATATCGGACATTAACTTAATACAATCACATTTTCTGCCATCAAAGTCATTGACTGAATCAGACGCCATTTTTTAGCAGCAAATAAGAAACAAAATTTCCCTAAGGAAAAGGCCGAAGAACTTGAAAAAAATCTCCAGAATATTAGTAAATCTTTCAGGAACAGAACACGCCAAACATTTGAAGAAAAATTCCTCAATAATTTTTAATTTCTATTATCAACAAACTTGCAACTGATGACTTCCGATTTCGGATACTGTTACAGATGTGTGTATTAAGGTAAAATGCATTTCTTCTGTCTTCAATTCATTACGAATTAAAGTGAAGTCAACATTGCTTTCGTCATTCCAGTGAATAAATATGAATTCAGAACATACAGAATTGTAATAGTTATAGCATATTCTTCTTCGTTATAGAATAGTATATATTTCTGTATCCATATAATTCGGAAAACAACAATAAAAAATTATCCAAGTTACTTGAAATAGTGCCATTTGTGCTGATTCTTAATTAATTTAAATCGTTTTCTTGGTAAGTTTTTTTTAATTTTGAAAGAATAAGTTCAACTAGAATTCAGCTATTCTGTTTTTAGCTACATATTCAAATTCATATCAATTATAAAATTTTGCTGTGTAGTATGTTATCTAAAAGTAATGAAGGTATAAACTATGTATCTATTATTTGAGAATAAAGTTTTCAAACAAGGAACTTATCATTTTGGAATTCTCCGGGAATCATAAATCAGGTAAGTGCAATGATTTTTACAATAAAAAATTTGCTTGTAAATATTTTTTTTTCATTTGATGATGGTTCTCTACAGAATGGTTTTTTACGTCTGATTAAGAACTATAAGAATAATAAAAAAAGAAACAATATGAAAGTTTTTATTTCAATGTTAAGAATTCTTAAAATCGTTTTTTTTATCCTAAGAATTCTTTATTTTCCGTTTTTTAGTTTATAATTTTTTGATAAAAATTGTTCTCAAAATACTTTTTTTGAAAAATTAAATGGTATAACATTATGTGTTTATGTATACTTCTTGTATATTCCAATGTTTGAAGTAATATGATTCAGAAAAGTATGGAATAAAAATTCGGTACTTACGTATTAACGCCACCGCCGCTACAGATTTGGCGGTTTTTAAGTGCCGCCAATCTACACTTAAAATTTTTGCGACAATTCATAAAATAAAACACTTTATTTAAAATCAAAATAGTCAATCGGATTTCGGTGGAAAATGAGCCGATATAGAGTTTAGCATAGATTCAAAACAATCATATCGCCATATGAACTCTGATAAATAAGATTCCAAATGAAATAACATTTCCAAAACGTACGTTTACCAAGATAAAGTTTTATGTTGTGGGAATTGGTACATTTTCGTTTTTTCGGTAAAATATTTCCCTCCTGAAAAAATAAAATTGCATCTTGTTTTGTTTTTGGCAAATCCCAAAGACGAATTTTCGTAGCACTAAAAATGGCGACAAAAAAGAATTGTTTTTTTTTTTTTGTTTCGTCAGCATTCTTTATTTTACGTTTCTTAGTTTCTAAATAATGATTTTTATTGAAACTTGAAATTTTTTGATAAAAATTGTTGTCAAAAAACTTTGTTTACAAAATTAAATTTCATAAAATTATGAGGCTTATGTATACTTTTTGTTCATTTTAATTTTTGAAGTAATATGATTCTTAAAACTATAGAATGTAAAGTTTAAATGGGCCTTTCATGTTATATCATTAAATTTAGTAATACTATTTCTCGGGCATTAGGTTTTAACTCTTATAAGAATATACATATTTTTTTCTGTTAATGTACAAATATTTTTCCGATGTGTTTTGGATATTCCTTCTCTAATAAAAAGAGATACCATTTTGTTTTCGTTTGCATAAGAAAGAATATCAAGCATTTTTCTTTTTTAAATTTAATTAGCCACAATAAAGAAGGAACGTTGCAATGCTACGTGCTACATTAACGACGTCTCTAGAGTAACTGAATGACTGTTCATATAGAAATCGCAGGTATTAGTCTCATACAACAACGCCCCCTATAGTTCGTTGCGATCGCGAATGGTAACGACATCTTGTGTTGCATTGATTCATTAATTCCTTTTTAAAATATTAGGTCTCGAAAGTTATTAAGCGGGCAGAAATGGAGTTTCTAAACTGTAAATGTACTCGCGGGATGGATGAGAGTTCAAATCGAAACTGAAACTTTTTAATTATTTATTGATATTCAAAATGCTTGACAAGGAATTACTTAAAGAGTGTTTAATTTCGTTAACTGAAACAGAAGATTCCAAAGTTTCTAGGGAAGCAATAGAAACTCTCTTAACAATTCACAGGTTGGAATTGTTTATATCTATGTACTTCACGTTCAGTGATCGTACTAGCCCTTATCTTAATTTTGATCTTTTTATCTTATTAATTGATGCTGTTATTTTACAGAAATATTTTTCACAACGAAGACAATTCACAGTATAGATTGCTTAAACCTGCGAATCCTTCATTTTCAAGAAAGATCTGGAGCCTTTATACATGCCGTCAATTTATGCTTTTGAGCGGGTGGATTGAAGTAATGAAATTGCTTAATAAGATTTTATAAATTGTGTTCAGACACTTAAAAATGTAAAAATCAAATAATTTAATCAATCGCACGTAAAACAAAGTGCACCTAAGCTAAAGAATATTCATTATGTTTTTTATATAGCAATTACATGTTGTTGTTTTTTCCCCTTAATGTTTATATTCCTCCGAATTTCAAAACTAGCAACTGTTGTAGTATACTTCCTGATTTTTGAATTAAAAGTTATTGTTTGTGAAGTTTTTGTTTATAAAATTTTTTTTCCTGTATTTAGCTAGTAGTGATAATACTTTTAATGTATTTTAGGACTTTTATTATTGTTCTGATTTTAGAACAGCTTTGTGACTTGTTTATAACTTTGTTTATATAGTACTAACTCAGCGTTTAGAGTTACTAACTGCTACATAAGTTTAAAATGACATAGTTGTCGTTAATTACTGATTAATCTCATATTGAGCCAGAAGGGGAGATTTCCCTATTGTGATCTGTGGCAGAATATTCGCAATTTCCCGTTAGTGGCAGCGAGAAACTTCAACAAAACACAAAAGCAACACAGAAAGGAACCAACTCAAAAGGTATTACCTAAGCCACCCCTGGGCAAACATCTTCTTGTTTTTATTTTAAAAAATTTGCAGGTGTAAAATTTATTTGGCATGTTGGTGACTGTAGCCGGGGCAACAGATTAAGATACGGAAATATCCCTAATCTGAATTGCACTGAAATCGTCTAGTGCTACTGCGTAGCTCATGTATTTGTGATAATTTAAGATGAAAAAGTATCGTAACTTCCATGAAAGTGGCTGTTTTCCAAAGAAATTATCTATTGATACACCTTATCTCTTAAGTGTCACATGCAAATTAATCAATTTTACAGTAATAACAATGTCTTATGAGACATAAAACTATTTTAAGAATTCTTTGAACTAATTTGAATGCATGAAGAAATTTAATTTTTTAAATTAATTCTTTATTTAAATTTTTCACTACCCTTATGTTCTATAAAATATTGTTATTGTATTGTCTTACACCTGATTCAGAATTACCTAGATAATATAGAAGTTTAGAAATATTTTGGTGTTTATTAAAAAACAGTACCATAGATGCTTATCAAATTAACTAAACCTACTGTTGCATGAAAAAAGTTTAAGATAATCGACTAGTTTTGAAAGATTTGATTACCTGAGCCGAAAATTAAATAATTCAGTATGTGTTGTTGACAACTACATTTTAGAGCAACCATCACATATAACAAATTTGGCCATTATGTAATATAAAAAATTTTTAAACTTTACGATTTCTTCTACATAAACTAAATACATATATAGTTTTTTTATAATTTTTTATATAATGTTCTATATCATTATAATCTAAAATTTTGCACACACTCAAGAAATATTTGAAAGTAAGAAATTTACAAGAATTTAAACACTGTCAGGTCAAAATTTAATTTCTTTAAGTCTACATATTTTATATTGTGGTTATCTTATTGTTACATAACTGATTCAGTCAGTAGTATTTATAAAATAATGTAATACTATGTGGGGACATTTTTTTGTATATTTGTATAATTATTTATTATCATTTTATTAGGTTCATGGAAGAATTGTTTTCAATAGTGATGAAAACTTACTGGAAGTGATCGAATTGCTTCTACAATTTCGGTATTTTTTTTCTTGTTCATTTGAGTTTAATTATTCTTGAAAGTTTTCTCCATATTAGTTATTTACATAGTATTACTAATTTTGATAAATATTATTTTCTGTAATTTTTTATTATGGTTTTAAAATTATGTCTTACATCAGCATTGTTATGACTGAATATATGAATGTTTGCTACACAAAGTCCCATATCAGGATTTTAATTTTCTGAAAATGTCTATTTTAAGGACGCTTTTTAACAATCAAAAAAATTAAAGGTATTTTTAATTCAATTTTTAATTTATATTCTTATTGATATTGCTACAACCACATAATATATTTTTTTTTATAATTATTGTGATATCTCAAACTACAGAGACTAGTTATAAAAACTTGAACAAAAGGAAAAAAATGATCTTTTGTGATGCATTTAAAATGCAATTGAAATGAGGATTTTGTATGCATCCCTAAAGCAGAAAGTGTTCACAACTAAGATATATGTTGCAAAGACGATTTTAGGTGCAGCAGCATAATAAATCTTTTGAACGGAGCTATATTTATTTTGTTAGGTAAGCATTTATTCATAATTTAATGATAGTAAGTTACAGCTTTTTTTTTTCAAGTTTGCAAAATAAAATTATTTGTTTTCTACAGAAAAGAATGTTAAAAATAATACTGTTTATTTGTTTTTGAAAGCTGTCTGTTAATTTTTAACAATGCCAACATTTATAATTATCAAAAGTCTAGTTTCTGAACATTTAATGTAATTCTGCTATTTTAGTCAGTACGTAAGTTTTTAATATGTCGTTAAAAAAGAAGAGTTAAGTTAAAAATTTATATTAAAATTATTAAACTAAGAGGTCAAAATATAATTATTTAAAATCATATTCATTGCATTTTTCTTAAACAAACAAACTGTTTTGTTCATTTATGTTTGTAGGGAAAGATTTTTGTAAATTTTATTTATTTTCTTTTTTTTAGTCAAAGTGAGTTCCATAAACTGAAACAATCGCTACGCAACCGACAATACGTACAGACCGACATTACGTATTTCAACATTAACCAAAATTATTTTGTTTCATTGGAATTTTTTGTTTAAACAATAATTAATACTTTATAGATTTCATTGTACTTGTATTCTACATATGGGAGGATATCAATGTAATATTTAAAAAGCTCTCAGAAACTATTTAATTGAAAGAAACAATGAGTTTATTAATGCTATGTTATCAGACAAATGCGTAAAAATAATTTAGAACTAGTGGAAATACAAATTTCTTCAAATTATGTACACGTCAAACAAAGTATCAAAAGTAAATTGTTTTGCATCAATAAACATCTCTTTACATCTTCCAATTTATCCAACATTCTTAGTCATTACTGTAGTCTGGAAGCAGTTTTTCTTTATATTTTTGTATCATATAAAGAACATGTACCTCAATGCTTTACATGTGGTAGCATCATTGCCTGCTGTAAGAAAATCATAAAGACTGACTTAGTTAAGCACAGACATATAAATATTTGAATTCTGTGATTCATTCATTCATTACTTTTAAAGAGAGGTAAAGGTGTCTGGATTACAAGAAAAAAGCAGTTGTCGGTTAGTTTCACCTTCGTTAAATTAGATAATCCATTTCTGAATATCTGTATTTTTAATACATTACTTCTATGGAAATTAATTTGTAGGTTTGGAAGATATTCATTATTTTATAATTGTTTCTATTTTGAATTTCACTAAAATGGGATTTGACTTTATAGTCTGTAGCATGAGCCATGACGCACACATCACCCAACTGTGACCAAACACTTAGCCCCATTTTTATGTCTATCTTTTTAACGGCCGTGGTAGGAACTACTACCTAATTTTTCAAATGACACGGACAGTGACTGAACTGGTACCCCTCTCCAAACTTACAGCCACCTATGGTTTAATGTGCACTTTTCTGTGTATGCACGCTTGTTTTGTTCAGTCAGTAGTTTGACTGGCACCTTAACCAACTGCCCCACTAGAGTAGTGGATATCATGAGCTTGCTTTATTCCTTTGAAAAACTTTTTTTTTTTTTCTTTTTCAGTGATGTTGCCCCTTTAGTTTCAGAGTGGGATACGACAACAAAGTATGAAGGAAAAAGTGAAGCACAGGTAAAAAATAAATAAATATGTATTTAAATTTTATAATGTTATAAATTAAGTATTTTGTTAGTTTTTAACTTCAATTAAGGGTATTGAGAATCAAATTCTATAAATTGTACTTTAAAAAAATAACATTGGAATATTTTAGATCAATAGGTAAATAAGTAGGTTTTTAATGTTAATTCTGTTAAGATTCCTTTTTCCAAAGTTTATCATTATGTGAAATAAACTTCTTTGAGGAAAAAATATGCGATATTTATGGGTAATGTTGGTTCGTATCAAGCACTCTGACTTTTTGGTCCATATATAGTCAGCATCCTCCATGCTAATAATAAAAAAAGGCACAAAATATCAATATGAAAAAATGAGATCTAGAAAGCATTTGTGGTTTAACTTTGCAATATTTGATAGCGTCAGGATTTTATCCAGGAGAAACATATTCCTTCAAGGAAACTGGAGAAAATCGGAAGAAACTGAAAAAGAACAACACACTTGTTAAGCAATAAATAAAGATAATTAAAATTTAAACTAAGTTAATATGACAGTGATTCCACTGGACTTAGGAAATTGCCTGTCAAAAAGGAACTAGTACCAAGGACCCAAATTTCCAGGTCTTAATTTACAAAGAGGGGGTATCTATTTTAACTAACATAAATCATTTAAAACATTTTAAATTTTCTAAAATTACAAAATTCCATGGAAAATGAAATAAATTAATTTTTCAAATGCTTGTTGACAAGAGATAGGAGAGGAAAGGTAGTCACCAAGATGAGTTAAAAAAATCAATAATCTGTGCATATTTGTGAAGATTTCATCTGTTGATGGACAAAACTGGAAAAGAGTTACGTTTAAAAAACAAGGTTTTTAATTACATCTGATCAAACATTTGCACCAAGCAGTGGCGTGGTTCTGGGGAGAGCTTGGGGACAAAACCCCCTCCGAAATTAAACATTACTTGATTGAAATATTGTATGGTAAGTAGAATGTAGATGTTAAAAAGTTTTCATAATTCATTTTTTGTAATTTATATATATATATATATACACAGGGTGATTCTAAAAAGATTGGAAAAATATTAGGAAGTGATAGTACACACCCAGACAAACAATTTTTATCAAAGAATGCATGGTTGAAAACAAAACACAAAGGTGCTGGCGCATTTGGAAAGTTTTTTCATGCAAACGAGAAAGCTCCATTCTTATTGCGAGTTACTGCGCTACATTATTTGTCGCCAAGCTTTCGGCCGCTACAGGGAAAGTTCGCCTATCTTTTCTTCTCCGTTGTACCAGCATAGCCGTTGCCGGCCACTGTTTTCAACACTTATTGTAATCACCTGCCATTAAATTTCCTTTTATAACTTAACTTCATCGTTCTTTGTGTGTTTTTGCCTCATCCAGGGATGAGATTTTTCCGCTTTTTAGCGGATTTCCTCCTTTTTTGCTTTTGTCTCTTGAATTTCAGCCTTTTTATCAAAAACTCCGATTATCTAAGTTTTTTTTTCTTCATATAAATGTTCCGCTTTTTCTGAAAATTCAACCCTTAAAATGAAATAATTATATTTCTTTTCGATTTTCAAAGATAAACAGAAAATTCAAACTACGAACTGCTTTTAATAATTTTAGCTATTTTCTCCACTTCTACGAGCAAAAAATAAGATTTTCCGCATTTTTCGTAAGTCAGACGTCACTGCATTTTAATATCAAACATCGATTTTCTTATTCACCTGATTTAAAAGTTGTTCGTTTCGATTCTTATTCATGCAATTTCAATATCGTACATTGCTTATTTACGAGGTTTAAAAATCCAATATTGCTATTTGTATTTACGCATTTTTTAAATTCCTATGTAGTGATTCGTATTCACCTGAGTTTAAAATCCAATGTCATGATTCCTTTATGCGGTTGTAATATCAAACATCACTTTTCGTATTTACACGTGATTTAAAAATTAGGCTTTGGGTGCGTATTCAGTTAATTAAAAATTATGCATCGTGAATCGTATTTACGCGATCTAAAAATTAGGCAACATGATTTGTATTTTCACATTTTTGAAATCCAATATTGAGTTTCGTAGTTACGTGATTTCAAGATCCAAGATCGCAAATTGTATTCTCGCGATTTCAAAGTCCAAGATCGCAAATTGTATTCTCGCGATTTCAAAATCCTTTATCACAATTATTATAAGAAGTAAGTTTTTTTCTTGAATTAGTTACTATATAGGTGGCAGTTGTTCTATCAACGATTTTTGGTACATATATATATATATATATATAGGCATTACAACATCAGCCAAACTGGATGAGAATATGTTGCTGATTATTTTTGCTATAAATCACGTATTAGTAATTTTTAATAAAAAAAAAATAAATGTTAATGTATGTTCTCAATAGATTAGTGTGCTAAACTAGGCAGTAATAATTGACTCCTTTGTGACTCAAGAAAAATATAATTTCCAGCTTTATTTTTTCAATTTGTAATTTTACTTTTTGCAAAATCTTAAGGGTCGATATAATTATACCTATATTAATAAATTAGTACACAATTAACTTTATATCAACACATAATTATTTATTATCTTGAATTGTCTGAAATTTATTATTAAACGATTGATTTACTCGTAAGATTTACTCGCGTGAAAATTCAGCTTTTTTGGCTTTTGGCCAATCTCATCCCTGAATATAGCAGTAATCATCTTTATCTTACATCGTTTAATTTTATTAATTCTTGAACTTAAGAGTACTGCAAATAAAGTTCAGTATGCGCTCTAATTTATCAAATCATCAACCAT